ATATTTTATTTAACTGGTTTAAACGTTGAAGGTGTCTCAAAACATACAAGTTTATTAAGCACAGTACAGAGCCATGTTAAGAAAATATCAAAGATTAATGAAAGCATGAATTCAGATTCAATAATTGAAGATGGTGAAGAGAGTTCCACAAATAATAAGATTAAATTTAATTATATATTATATGAGAATCAACGTCGTTGGATTGGAATTGGATGGACACCCAGTATGTTAAGTTATGAAAGGTCAAGTTGGACAGATGAATTTTTAAATCCATCGTTATCACCTGAAGAATTTGAATTGCCTGAGAGTCAGAAGAATATGAAATGGAAATGGGTCGATAGATCTTGGAGATTAGACATGACTAATGATGGTATGATTCAATTGTCCAGTAACAAAGCCAAAACAGTTGCTTTTCCTAATTCTGATGATGGATATATATACTATGATAACACATGGAAGAAACCGTCAACAGTTGATTCATTTTCCAAATATACCAGAAGGAGAAGATGGATTAGAACGGCAGAATTGATAAGGGTTTCCAACTATCCATTTGAAGAAGGTAGTAATACCAACGGTAATGGCGTCAGCAATGGCAAAGAGAACACTGACACGAGGGAAGAAGAGGGAGAAGAAGAAGGCATAATGGTTGAACCAGAACAAATGGAAGAAGATGGTAGTGTCGATAAGAACGGAACCGATAGAGTTCGCCAAGTTTCATTTAGTACCAAAGATATAATTTATACTATAGCGCCTAATAATATCAAGTTAAAGAAACCCGTTGAAGTGACCACTGAGGAGACAAGAGAAATATTAGCAAGTGAGAATACTCACGAGAATAAAGGTACAGGAAAGGGTAAAAGTAAAGAGAGACGTATTGAGATCAAACATAGCAAGGTATAATTTAATTTAGTTCAATATATTCCAATATAGTCCGATATAGTTTAATTCAATTTAATTCAATATAATATAATATATGATATAATATTAATATTAATATGTATTTAATTAATTCTAATTCTAATTCTAATTTTAATTATAATGCTAGTTATAATTATAATTTGTTAACCTTTAAGGTTGGTGGTAAGGATTGAATCAACTTCTTAGCTTTACCAGCATCGTTAACGATCAAAGTGTACAAGTTTCTTGAACCTCTAACTTTGAATTTGGTTTGTTTGAATGGCTTACCAGCTTTGTTTAACTTTCTGTTAATCTTAACAGTAGCAGTCTTGACATCAGCTCTTCTGGTCAATTCTAAGAATAATTTAATATCAGTAATTTCTCTAGCCATTTTTTAAATAATTCGCAGTTGGTGCCGTTAGATTGGAGGATCTAGTAAATGAGTTATTGATAAATAAAACTGACAATATGTAAATATATATATATATAAATTACACCATGAAAGAGGGCACAAGTTATATGTAAGCACTGGATAAAGTCTGTGAATGTTCTTGGTTGTATTATATCAAGATGATGAAGGATATTGGGTTTAGTTAGTCTAGATTAGAGTATTGCATAAGAGTGAGAGAGTACGAGTGAGAGTAAGAACAAGAGTAGGGGAGTGAGAGTAATAGTGTCTATCAGAGTATATAGATTAGAACTAATTGGCGTGGGTTACGTTGCAGTTGCAATTGCAATTGCAGTTGCACCATAAACATAATACCTATCTATCATGAACAAAATTGAACCAATTCGAAAAAAAGGAAAAAAGTGAAAAAAGTTGAGATGCGATGAGCTCCAAACTGAAATTGAAATTGAAATTGCGTGCGTGCGTGCGACTGCATATACGCCATTGGAAAAAACTACAGTCTTCATCTATTCAAGACAAGATGGCAGTGCAATGGCGCAGGGGTGGATGGATGGATGAGATTCGGTAAATTGGTCTCTTCTTGTTTTTCTGGGGAGAGCTGAAAAAAAAAGCCGTCCTGGCGAGGGAAAGGATGAAAGAGGCAAATGCGAGAAAAGAGAAAAACGGGCACAAATAATTTTAAAGGTTCTGTAGGTGCACGGATGCTAATACTGAAATCACCGGGTGTACTGTTGGAGCAGTCACTCAGACCACAACTTCAAAAATTTAGCCTTTTTTACTGTATTTGGTCACGTGTGGATTCTTGTATAAATCACTTTCTCTTTTACTTAACACAGTAAGACTCATCTCTGCTCAGACACAAACTCCAAACTAAATTATTATATTATATTTGATCTGATTTGATTTGAATTAGGTATTCAATTTATTCAAATTAAATTATACTAAATTAAACTAAGTTTTGTTATTCTATTTATTAAAGTTATACCCCTTGCATCTATGTCACTATACAATATCTTCCATTTCAATCTCTTCTTCTTCATCAGCTTCGTTGCCAGGTAATTGTGCATTACCACTACCGTCTTGTCCTTCTCCTCCCAGTTGTCCGTTTTCACCAGCACTGCCACCTGCATTGCCTTGGTCATCCGCCAACTCTCCCAATGTGGCCTTTCTTTCTTCTTCTTTTAGTTTCTTATATTCTGGTCTTAACGTATATTTAAATGCATAAGGTCCCTTTTTAACCAAAGTCGCAACTTTATCTAGACATTCTTTCAAATGAGCTTCTGGCTGTCTAGTACGTTCTTTTAACCCTTTCAAAGACCAATAGTCATATTCGTCAAACAATTTGAATAGATAATCCAAAATCTCTTTCTTAGGCATTCTAATAGATTTAATATTAGCCTTGGCCTTTTCACGTCCAACTTTCAAGAAATTAGAATTATCTGACTTCATCGACATACCAGTATGGCTCATAGTAACACCAACGGTCTCATCCAACGTAGTGATCCTTTCTTTGTTACTATTCTTAACGATATTCCTTCTTTGTTCAACAATCTTGTGGTAGTTAGGGTCATTCATAGATGGCATGACTTGACACTCGTGACATACTGTACCCGAAATAGATGTCTTCTTAGGAATTGTCTTGACGTATGGAATATATCTATCTCTACCATCTCTATCTGTCATAACACGATGATTAAACTTCTTTCTATTATTACGTCTTTTCTGTTGCTGTTGTTTCTTCTTTAGTTCTTCTTCACGTTCTTGCTTCTTCAAATATGCCTGTCTCTGTTTCTCTGGGTCTGCTGCTAACTCTCTCTCTCTCTGTTGATACTTCTTCAAATTTTGTTCAGTGAAAATATATTCATTTTCAACAACTTTTTTAGTCAACTCTAAATCATACTCATGTGGAATAGCATCATTATCATTCTCATTCAACACCAGTTTAATCTTACTACCATTTTGATTAATCTTGATCTTACCCAATTCTTGCCCATGTAGATTACTTCTATCTCTCCATTTTTCAGCCAAAAACATTGGCAATCTAACTAACCAAACTTGTCTACTACAACTAGACAAATCCAAATCTAGTGATTCTTCATACACCTTTGTTTCGTTATTCTCAATATCATTACCATCGAAAACTTCTTCTTCCTGGGACAAATATTCATCGTTTCTATTAGTTTCAACAACATTATTCCCTAATGTTGGTACCGATTCTGAAGTTGACATCTTTATAAGCTTATTTCTGATTCTCTCTTGAAAAATTAACAATAAATTCACTTATACAATCAAATATAACTCAGATATATACCAGATAGTGCACTTTATCGTATATTATCCCTCTTTTTAACAGTTGTAAAAGTACTTATTTCTTGTTGTATTTCATTCTAATCCATTTAAATAATTTTTCATTTCCCATTTTTTTCCCATTCCATTTTATAGCGTAAAATCGAAGACTTCTATTCATAAAGGGAACCTTTCACCATAAGAAAAGCTTTAAAGGCAATGAGATGAGATGAGATGAGATCAGAAGAGATGAGATTTGGAGTTGGAACGGAAAGGTTAGGATTAATATATAAGGACACATATATCTGTTGATTTATATTTATTTGTATCATGAATTTTAATTTGAATAGTTTGTTACAGAAGGAAATAGCCAAGAAAAAAAGAGAGATTGATGTTTCTAATGCCAACCGAGCTGTGGTAGAAAATGGTAATAACTGCAAAGATGAACCATTAACATCGGTTCAAGTGACAACTGTGAACCTTATCAATAGTGGTAAAGGTGAGTTGGAAAGGGAGAAGCAAAATCGAATTGACAAAAATATTGAAAGATTGAAAAGTAGAAGAAGTAGAATTAATGATATTTTAAACAGTGAAAAAGATATTGATTATAATATCAACATTAATGAAATTTTAATTGAAAATATTAATTCATCTAAATTGTCAATTAAATGCAACCTTTACGTTCATAAACTGTTGAAAGATTGGAAAGAAAGCGGTCACTCATATGATTTAATTCTTGAAACCAAGAGAAATTTATTACCGTTGTTAATCAAGTTACGTAAGAATGATATTAATAAAGAAATATTAATATCAGTAAGTACAATACTATACCATTTACAGCAAGATAATGAAATCAATCAAAGTTTACAATCATATATGAAATTAAGTATAGGTACAGTGGCTTGGCCAATTGGTGTAACACAAATTAGTATTCACTCACGTAGTGCCCATTCAAAATTAAATGACATCAATAAGACTTCTAATATAATGATTGATGAAAGAACAAGATTATGGATTACAAGTTTAAAAGGTTAATAACTTTTCGTGAATGGGAGTCCAAACAAAAAAGTCTAGAGAGTAAATGAATGAATCAATAAGTTTGGATTGGTAGAACGATGAAACTGATCACAGTGGTGTGATACTTGTTCTGTAGATTGATGTTCAGGTAGCAAAGTATATAGTTGTATCTCTCCAGCATCATATTTTATAGATCACAATTTGTATGTGTTGAAACTATTTAGCTGTGTTATGCTGTGAATCGTTTGCAGCCATCCATGCAAGGCAAGAAAAAAAATTATTTATCGTATACCAAATTTGAATATAAGAAGAATCAATGAAATCTAGTTGATGAAGGAAAGGTTTATGGATAAAGGATCAGACCAACCAGAGTGATATTGCTTGATATAAGATGACAATTGCATTGGATGATAATAAAGTTTGGATAGACGGTTGTTTTGATTTTACACACCATGGTCATTGTGGTGCAATTTTACAAGCAAGACAGACTATTAGAAATGAAAAAAATTCGAATGGGAAGTTGTACTGTGGAGTTCACAATGATGAAGAGATCGAATATAATAAGGATGCTAAACCTGTCATGAATTCTCTTGAAAGGTATGAACATACACGTAGTAATAGATGGTGTGATGAAGTTATTGAGAGTGCCCCATATGTTACATCTCAAGAGGTTATGGATCAATATGGTTGCAAATATGTTGTCCATGGCGATGACATCACATTAACAGCTACTGGAGAGGATTGCTATCAGAAGATGAAGGATTTGAATAGATTTAGAGAAGTTAAAAGAACTAAAAACGTTAGTACCACTGATATTATTGATAGAATTTTAAATCCAAATAAATATTTAGAGTTTAATATATTGGAAGAGCCTACACTGGAAGAATTGGAGCAATTTGGCCGTGATAAAACAGGACATTTGCCATATTGTTATGTTTTCAAGACCTCGATAGATGAAGAGAACATAATATTAAAAGGTGGCTATGAATTAAACAAGAATAAAATCGTTATATGTGAAGGTGACTTTGATTTATTTAATGTCAGTGATATCGAAAGGCTACGATTATTAAAGGACCAAAATCCCAAAGAGACTAAAATAATTGTCAGCATTAATGTCAGGGAGGACAAAACTCATTATATGAGTTTGAAAGAACGTATGTTAAGCATTATGAGTTGTAAGTACGTCGATGGTATTTTGATCAATGACGACAAGAGAAAGTATCAAGAAATCACAAGATATAATATAAATGATATTGGTTGTGATAGTGATGATAACAATTGTAAGAAATTTAATTACCTGACTAAAGAGTTGATAGTTGAAAGAATCAATGATCAAAGAGAAAGATATATTAAACGTAACATTAAAAAGGGTATCGTTAATTAAAGGAAGCTAAAGATAGAAATACATAGAGTAGGTAAATAAAATAGATAATAATAATAATAGTAATTTGTCATTAGAATACTTTAAGAGCCATCTTATCTTCATATAATGGACGAAAACGATATAGTTTCATTAGAGAATTCATTAATTAAATGTTTTAATATATATATATAGAATAGATACGTATATATACATATAGATATATATTAAAAATGCTTTAATGTTAAAAAGAGATGATGATGATCCCACGTTAGCATGTGAGATTGAGTTGGGTCATTAGAAAGATAGAGATAGAGAGAGAGTATAAAAATCATTAATTAATCATGAACATTTTGCAAGTTAAATAACTTTTTTTCATTAGATTGGGTGTTTGAGCCTCTTCTTGGTTTATTGAAGACAGGTGGGATTTCACCAGAATCGATCAAATCGTTGATTTCATCACCTGGCTTACCCCAGTTGCCCTTACCTGAGCCATTCTTCTTCACATTGTTTGGGTCTTCACCGTAGTTACCATTTCTTGAGAAGTACTTTGGGTCAGCCTTTGATTCGTGAACGGTCCATTTGTTAGTTCTTGCCATTGTGAATGTGTAGGTATGTTAATGAGATTGTAAAATTTATTTTATTTTATTGTGATTGAATTGAAAAATATTTCAATTGCAATGTGATGTTGTTTTGCTTTTTAGTATGTATAATACTTGTTGTATTCGAGTTGAATATGTATATGTATTTGTGTATGTATTATACATAAAATGAGTGTTAAAAAGAATTAGTGACAAGAGAGATTTGAAGATTGTATAAGTATATATCGAGTATTTATATACTTTTAAATTTTGAAAAAACAATCAATCTTGATCTTTTGGAAAAGGGGTTAAAGGTTTATCTACCTATCTTTTTGAGATTTGGGAAGCAGAAGTTACTTCGTCACACCATGGACCAACGTTAGAAGTCGAGTCGACTTGACTCGACTTGAGTTTGCTGACGAAACTTCTTGTACGCACCCACTCATCTCTTAGCTCTATAGTCTATAGTCTGTAGTTATTAGTTTGTGCTTTAGGTTTGCCATTTCCCCCCTCCCCATAACGTCCCCCCCCCCTTTGCGATCAATCATGCTTCTTCTGCAACTAGTAAACGAGATCATTATATTTCAACTCGACCTCACTTAAGTCTGGTCTGGTATTAACTTGAGTTTCAGGCAGTTGTGTTGGGATGGGATGGGTTGGATGTGAAAACAGGAGTTGTATGCAAGTGTACTAGTAGCTCAGCTGTTGGGAAGAACCTTCTATCCCAGTGTACCGAGTTGTGTTGTATAGCTGAACACAAGAGAGGATACGAGACGAGACGAGACGAAACCTCTAACACTTAGCTCCCCTCCCCTCCCCTCCCCCGCACTAATTAATTATCTGTTTGGTTTGAACGAGAGGGAGAGGGAGGCAGAGAGAGAAGTGTGTGACTGGGTGCATTGTTGAATGACTTCTTCTGGCACCACCACCACCACCGCTGGTGCAACAGCAATAGATCACAGCGTCTTGCTAGGGGAAGGGAAGGGGTGGTGAGACCAGCCCAGCCCAGCCCAGCTTAGCCCAGACTTAAGTGAGACAGGTAAAGCTAAGCTCAGCTAAGCTAAGCCAAGACAAGATCAGCTGAAATCACAGGTCCTGGGTCCCACTGTTGGGAACGGAAAACAGGAGAGGTATGTGTATGTGTATGTATGCTAAAAAGACGAAATTCAGTTGCTTGCTTGCTACGCTACGTTACGTATTGTTGACTGGGTTTTGAGTTTCGAAATTTCAACTTTCGAAGGTGTTGAATTTGGAAGGTTGGCTAGGGTTTATGTAAGATATATCTGCTGTTGTTGTTGTTGCTGCTGCTGCTTCGTGGATGGATTATGGTAAGTAATTGGTTGGGATACCCTTTTTTATTTTATCTTCTTATTGTGTTTTGTACTCTCTGGTTTCCCGAGTGGTTATGGATTGCATAAATAATATAGTTGGTATTTGACATACTCAAGAGAGATTAGGGTATATTGAGATTAGAGAACCCAATTTCATGTTACAATTCCAATTGACAGCAGCAGCGTAATGCCTCAAATTTCTATACACAAATTGTTCTTACAAAGAATAACACAAAAAACAAGTGTCACGTGACTCGTAGCTAAATAGTTACCGTTTCTCCCGGAAAGAAAAAGAAAAGGCAAAAATGTTTGACCATGAAAACCAAAATGTTACCAAATTTTGCTAATTAGCTGTCGTCCCAGTGGCCGAGTGGTTAAGGCGATGCCCTGCTATTTCATAAGAAACAGCTGTAAGGCATTGGGTTTTACCTTCGCAGGTTCGAATCCTGTCTGTGACGTCAATTTTTTTGGTATTGCATAATTCCATATTCACAGAACATTTCTTCTTTCCTTCTTTCCTTCTTTCCTTCTTTCCTTCTTTCCTTCTTTCCTTCTTTCCTTCCTTCTTGGAGATCTATCCACTTTTTTTGACCTGTTTTTTACGAGTCTGTCCCCAGTTCGATCCCCAACATTGACTTTATTCACTCTCATATATATATATAATTCAAACAAAACCCCGTTGCCAACGCTATAAAATTTCAAATTTATATCTATCTATACCTTATAAAGAAAGAGAAAGAAAAAGATGAAGCATCTCTTGGGTCTTACCTTATATCAACAACCGTAAAGCACTAATACTATACACCATGTCAAACAGAGATATAGTTTACGTATCTCCACAGGCTTATCTATCTTCCTCTCAGGACTGGTGTCTTAATTCCCAACAAAAAGGTTATATTCCAATACTACAAAATGATTTATTAAACTTTAAAAAAATACTAGATTTAAAGAAACCTAAAACTACATCGATTAACCGTGATCATGAAAACGTTGCTTCCTCCAATAGCAAAAATAGTAATACCAATCATCTTGGTGAGAACAATGCTTCAACTAATGGAAATAATTTAAATTTACAAAATTTGAATGATAATATTAATAATAATGATGTTGAAAAATTATCCTATCAGAATATGAAATTATTCCATCCTATATCAACTATTGATCAACTATATACAGTTTCTCTAGTGGGTGTACCTACCGCATTGTCAGATATCACTCTAGAGACAATTTTTAAATCCATCTCAAATGATAATGTTCTTTCATGGTCAGCTTTTGTTTCAGCGGTCTTGGATTCAAAAATTGTTTATTTAAGATTCAAATCGACTTTATCCAAAATAGAATTCAAAAAAACATTGCTATCGATTCAAAGTATACTAGAAAGCAAAGATATCAATTTAGGCGAATTGCATTACGACTCAAATGTCAAAGATTTTTTAAACTCAATAGATTTGAAGAATGAACCCATTCCAAATACATCTCAAGAAAAGTTAATTAATACTTTGGTGAAGATAATATCGGAGAATGTACCTAATTCAAATGATACCAAGAATAAAATAGATTCAGATCATCCAGAGAGTTATGAAATTGATTTGGGTACTTTAAGTGATATACCGTCTGACTCAATCGAACAATTATGTAAAGACATTATTGATTTTAGGACAAAAGTTATTAAAATCGAAAGAGAGAAGAAAATTAAACAATCTTTGGAGGAAAGCAGATTGAGTAAACAAAAACTTGATAAAATATTCAACCAAATTAAAAAAACTAGAAATTTAACACCAATTGATTCAACCAAAAGTATGGAAGGAGGAGTATTGGCGGCTACTGCCACTGAAGAAGAGGCGAGGGATGATTATGAAGAAGAAGAGGATGAAGATGAAGATGAAGAAGACGATTTGAAAATATTGAATAAATCTATAGCCCAAGAGAAGGAAGAATCGAACCAGAGATATCTCATGTTACTGAATAATTTGAATAAATCAATTGAACCAAATCTGAAAAAGTTATCTCATTCAGTACTCGAAAGTACCAATTACCTGGACATTATTACATCAAACAGATCACTATTTAACAAAGAATTGCAAATATTGAGTACTGATGTTTATTATGACCATAATACATCTTTCAGACAAGAGGAAATACGAAAGGATGATATTGATAGAGAACTAAACCCACATGTCAAATTAATAACAACAGAGTCTATTATGTCCAAATCAGTTGAAGAATCAAAAGAAAGTCTTGACAAAAATGAACAAGCTTCGAAATCAATTATTACTCAAAATGAAAATATATCTGTTACATCTGACATCAAGATCAAGTTAGCGTTTAAAACCAAGATCGATAAATCTAGTGAGATCTATTCATCAAGTGAGACAGAATCAGATGAGGAAATTAAGCATCTACAAACCTCAATAAGGGAATCCAAGAATAAGACTACAGATATAGTTACTTCATCTGGAAAGGATAACTCAATATTAACATTTACGGATGATGAATTACAGAAGAGATTGACTCAACTCAGAGAATCTAAAATTGTCGATGAGCTAGTAAATGAATACTTGGGTGTTTATGAAGATGAATTAGTGGACTACATTTTTGATAACATTAAAGAAAATAAAAACAAACATTTACTTCTTGTAGACCTGAAAGAGACTTTCGATGATGATGCAATCAAAATAGTTGATACTATATGGAAACATCAAGCTATGCTACCATAGTTCTAGAACAATATATACCATGGGTTCAATTGTACAGTTTGGGTAATAATGTTGATCCAGACATAAACAGAAATATATACCTGAATTAAACAGAATATGAAAAATGAAAATAAAAACAAACAATAAAAAAAAGGTAAACAAATAAACAAATAAACAAACAAACCTTAATATTTTTCGTTTATTGTCAACCTTCACCCTTCAAGATCACAAGAAATGATGATATTACCACGTTATTTATTGTATTTATTTTCTTTTCAGTATCAAAAAATTCTCTAATGTTATCACCCTATGCCCCAAACTCTATCACCAGGATAACCAGACAACCATCTAGATAAATAAATAGAAGATATACAAGAAGATAAGGTTTAGTATACTGAATTGATTAAAAATAAAAGAAGATAGCTGCTCATCTGATAATAGATCAAGAATGCAGTGTTACAATTAATCTCATCGCTTAAACTACAGAATAATCTAGGTCTCCGCGAACCACACAGATTGGAGTTCAGAGAACATAAACAAAAAAGAAACCGATAGAGCTGACGTTATTTTCTGCACCAATGTGTGTGTTCCTACAATCTGTCAAATCAGCCAAGGGAAGGTTTTGTTTCTACAAACTCCATTTAAGTAATCTGCAGAGAGAATAGTGGAATAACCGGTCGGTCTAATGCATTTACTATCATCCATATAAGAGAAGACGAAACCTCATAGAGATATAACCAGTTCATCCTGTCGGTTAGATTTACTATTAACTAACTCTGATCCTGGATACATTTCTAAATCTTCGACTATCTTCGTAGTCTGGCTTTGCTTTACTACCCATTGTAATTTGTTACTAAATTAGGCTATTACACTATTACATCATTAGAAACTGGGTATAAAATAGCAAGGAAAAGAAAGGAACCTCTGAAATCGCGTTCATTTCTCAACACTTTTTTCGCGTAAAAAAAATATCCAGTTCAAAATCGAAGTCGAAGTCGATTTTGAGATTGAGGTGAACAAGAAGAATAAGAAGCACGAGTGGATGCAGCTTATAGCTACTACCAGGCTTAAAATAATGGTAGGAATAGTGGTGGTTACAGCAGCATGAACGACAAATTGTCCACGAGAAAATTTGTTGAAGATTGAGCTAACGAACTTGTCTCAGATCTGTTTTATCTTATCTGATACAACGGTATCTTCTCCGGGCCTTTTTATGTTGGTGATTTTTTTGGTGAAGTTGCAAGAATTAATGCATATACGTCCCTCATACACATACACATACACATACACACATACACGAAAAAATTCTTGATATGAATTTTTATATAGTTACTGTTCTAGCAGCGGACACGTTATGTTACTTTTTGCATCAACTCTTTAAGTTCTTTTTTTATTTTTGGCTTTTTAAGTTCCAATGTGAGTTTCAGTCTGTACTGTAAGTTCTGAATGAAATATCTTCAACATGAGTCTCGATGCTATTCTTCAAGTCTTGGAGTGAGTTTTCCTTCTTGAATTTAATGCGGCTAGACACAATGTCACCACAATCAGGCTAGCCACAAGGATTAGAATCATTTTTATCCTGTTTTAGAATATTTTTGGGGATCTTATTATTACTGTTTTGTGAGCATTATTCTAAGAAATCAAATAAACTAACTATAATAAAAATAGCATGAAATGATCAAACGTTTTAAAACTTTGATTTCTTTCAGGTAAAAATTCTTAAAAATTCTACTGTTTATTTTCCGTATTGTCTCTTTGTTTTATGGGTATTTCTGTGCCAACAACAACAATGATCTTTTATTTTAGATAAGATACTAGTAATAATAATAAAAATAATAATAATAATTTCACTAATAACAAAAATATTTTAAAATAAATAATTCCTCTACTGATATTAGTTGGGTATCTACGAACGATCGTTACTTTTATAACATCGATGAGACTTATAGTTTAATGGATTTTGTCCTCTTTGGGTTAAACTCTTGGTAAATACCTGTCATTTTGGTTTCTAGGCATCTATTCCCTTTTGTTTTGCAGCAATTTCCCATTGGAGTATAAACTTCTAATCAAAGGATATATATATATATATAATATATATACACCTTCCAGTTGACATTAGTTCAACCATTAAGTTCATACTTAGCAAGGTCCATTTGTAACTATTTACCTTAACCCACCAAGGTTAACATATTATATTAAAATAATCACTGTATAGGACAGGTTCCAATTAGAGTTAGATATATTGCCAATATCTTCTAAACTTTAGTTATCAATATCTTATAATAGTTATCCCCAACAAGTTCCTATTAATTGAATAAGAGGGTTATACTTCCATTCCTTTCATATATATAATTTTTTAAGCTGAGTTATAATTATTGATATAGCCAAGAGTTTTCATCAATTTATGAATTAATCTTGAACTATAACATATTAATAAACACTGACAATCTTTTAATATACCCCAAATTCAATCAATAAAATTGTATTATTCCATTCGCTATAACCAGATATTCACTGATTTTTAATATAAGCAATATTAGTGATATCAATTACTTTTCAGTTCCCAAATTTAGTTCGTTCATTTAATCTGTACAAATAAATTCAGTTTTTTTATTCTATCGTCTTAATCTGACTATAGTTATACATTGTAATTTCATAAACCCGTTCTTTTGATTTTAAACTTTTAGTGTGTCCAAAATGTTACAATACGTGCTTCTGGTAACTTTATTCCTACAATCAACTTTAGCTACAGATATAAACTTTGTAGGAAATAGGGTGATACCAAATAATATAAATAATTTGTTCAGCCCTTTTAAAAAATTGGCTATTAAGGCAAAAAGAGATGACACAGGCAATACTACGCTACCAGAGTATTCGGTAACTGTTACATCTACAACAGAGCTATCATCATTGACTGATTCAACCGAGATTGATATTACAGACTTTGATACCAGTGCCACCAAAGACATAATAACTTCAAATATTGTTACAACTACATCTGATGTAATAACCAGTCAGTATGAATCAACATTTGGTTCAGAAACAACATCGGTAGAACCAATAAATAGTGCTAACTCAGAGATCGATACTATATCAGACGCTCAAAGTGTTAACACTGACGCCACCTCAACTACAGATACACCAGTTGTCAACCCTGACACAACTTCTACAACTGATACCCCAGTTGTCAACACTGACACTACCTCAACTACTGATACCCCAGTTGTCAACACTGACACTACCTCAACTACTGATACCCCAGTTGTCGACACTGACACTACCTCAACTACCGATACCCCAGTTGACAACACTGACACTACCTCAACCACCGATACCCCAATTGTCGACACTGATACCACTTCTACAACAGATACCCCAGTTGTCAACACTGATATTTCAACATCTGAGCCAATTTATACAATTAATACTGACACTACCTCAACTACTGATACCCCAGTTGTCAATACTGACACTACAACTGACACCCCAACTGCTAACACTGACACTACCTCTACAACTGATACCCCAGTTGTCAATCCTGACACTACTTCTACAACAGACACCCCAGTTGTCAACACTGACACTACCTCAACCACCGATACCCCAGTTGTCGACACTGATACCACTTCTACAACAGATACCCCAGTTGTCAACACTGATATTTCAACATCTGAGCCAATTTATACAATTAATACTGACACTACCTCAACTACTGATACCCCAGTTGTCAATACTGACACTACAACTGACACCCCAACTGCTAACACTGACACTACCTCTACAACAGACACCCCTACTGTCAACACTGACACCACCTCAACTACTGATATCCCTCCTGTCGATACTGCTACTTCTTCTACAACAGACACGCCAATTTACACTATCAATACTGATACTACTTCATCCACACCTGTTGTTCCAGAGACAACTTCAACTACAGATACTCCAGTTCTTAATACTGATACCACTTCGACTACCACACCAAATGCCAACGTTGATAACACTTCAACAACTGGAGTCTCTTTTGTCCCAGTTAGTTCTGCCAATGCTGCTGATAGTACTTCAACAACCAACCAAGAGATCCAATCGACAACTTCAACCCCAATTACAAACATTGATACCAATGTTCCAACTACTAGTACTGCTGGTGTTCCAACAACCACTGAAGTTCCTGCCTCTAAAACGGTTTCTAACGAATCAGCTACAAAGGAACCAGAATATACCATAGTTCCAAGTTCCACTTCTAAAGTTCCAACTTCAGAAGTGGCTGTTACTACTTCTGCCAATACTGTCGCTACAGGTTTAGCAGCTGATTCTAGTATTGTCAATACCAAACATTCTACTACATCTCAAGTGCCATTTACTATTGTAACTGATAGTACGTCATCAGTAGGTTTACCTTCTTCAATTCCAATTGTTCAAGATGAAACAACCAACACTACACCAACTATGATAAGAAGTAAAACTACTATTTCTCCAACCAGTATTGGTAACATTGTAACTGGTACTTTATCAACTGCACTTGCGAACCCAACTGATCAAACGACTGCTTTCACAGCAGCAACTTCAACTGCAAGTACTAGTACAAAAAAGACAGCAAAGACAACCAATACTTCAAATTGGTGGGTTCCAACAAGTTTGATTACTGAATCTGATGTAACTGATTCTGCTGTCACAACAAGAACCTTATCTGCTACTAAGTCTGTTCCATTAGCCATTGCTGCATCGACACAAACTGCTACTCCAGAAGGTTGTTCTCTAGTTACCATTGGTTTTAAAGAAGCTTTGAACTATCAATTTGTGCTATCTAGTTCTGTTACAGTTGCACAAATTTTTGCCTTCTTACCTGGTGGTTTAATCGCACCATTTGAAGAACAATTGGCTAATGTCACAGTTTACAGATTATCACCATTGAACTATGGTAATTTCAATTATACATTAACTGTTGCTGAAGTTTATTTCCCAACTTCAAAAATCGATGAATTAGCTGCATTTGTTGCAGATTCAGAAAGTGCATTATATGTTAATGCTAGTGGTACTGAAGAAGAGCTAGTCTCTTTGATTGATCCAAGAATCCCAATTACCGGTTTATTGAATAGTTTATCATCTTCCTCATCATCATCTTCTTCTTCATCTTCCAATGATGAATCCTCTTCCGATGGAAACTCTTCTTCTAACTCTAACAACTATGGTACTTTGGATTCCTATAGCAAGAATGTTGGCAACACTACTACTTCTAAGGGTAAAGCCAAATTAACAATATTTATTATTGGTATAGTTGCTGCTGGTTCTTTGTATATTGCAGTGATGATATTACTAGTAAGATTTTTCATTATTAGACATCGTAGAAAGGCTGATATTTTAAATGATTCTGATAGTTCTAGTATTAGTTCAAGTGAGAATGGTCATGTTAATTACAAAGATTTAGAAAAACGTATGTCAAATTCTGATCATACTATCTCTCCATCTGTTAAAATTGACGATTGGGTTGATCACCATGAAGTATATTATAGTAATGAGACAACTCCAAAGAAATCAGATTTGAGTCAAGCTCCTAATAAACCCATAATTTCAAAGCCTCTTGCAACAAAAAATTCCTTAGGTTGGAATGCAGTATAAAATATGTTTAATTACATAAGTAACAATAGATACATGATTAAGTATATTAATAAAAATAATAATTAAATCAACTAGTGCTAATGTAGACAAATAGAAAAGTAGAGCTGATATAAAATAGTTTTATTATTGTTATAAAAGATCTTTGCATGCGATTTCCCAATTTCCCTTTAAGAGGTATAGTATTACAATTTGAAGGTTATTTCCATCTGATTACATGGATATATTATGCTAACGATATTTTTTTTACTTCCTGATTTAATGACAATTATTTTAATAATAGTAATAATAGTTTGTCATGAAATATTATAAAAATAGGACACGCAAACTTTAATCATTGAAAGAAATTAATAATGGTTTCAGTAGATTCTCTTGGTTTTTCGAACATGATGTTGTGGCCAGAATCGAATTCATGTACTTGAGCATTAGGGAAGGAATTTTTTAATAGATCATAATTTTCATTTATGAAGAACGATTTTTTGCCCTTTAGGAATAGGACAGGTTTGTTAGTTTTAGAATCTAATTTTTCCATTTCCATTCTTGATGAGTTTAAGTCTGGCCATTTTTTCAATTCTTCAATAAAATCTGGCATTGACTGAAGTGGGATATAATATTCTATATATTTTGAAATATCAGGATTCTTTCTATGTGGTAACGAATCTCTCAGTTCTAAGTCATTCCCTTTTAAAGATAAAAACCCACTACTAAAATAGAATGCAGGACCACCATTACTTGCTATATTGACAGGTAGTTTGTTGAACAATTTCTGAACTTTTACTTTCCAATTTTTTGAACCTTTTTGAATTTTGATATCTTCATTTAATATTTCCATAATTAGATTATAATTATCGACTAATATTGGGTCCATTTCTGGGGTATAATATGGCGGTAGATCTATCGATATGCATTTTCTTACATTTATTTCTTTTGACAAGGTGGTCAGTAAACCAAGTTTTCCACCAGCAGAAAACCCTAAGATATTTATTGGACGCTTATTGCCAATATGCTTTTTAATAAAATAAATTATATCTCGTGTCATAGTTAAATAATCAAAAGGTCCGGCTCTTGGGGAAGTACCATGATTTCTTAAATCTAGAGAATAAACGTCAGTTTGTAGAACATTTGCCAATTCTCTTGACAAAGAGCAGAACATCATTTTAGAACCAAGAATACCATGAATATTAACAATGGCAGGTTTTGAAGTATATTCATTTGGTATGACTAAATTTCCTGGACTAATTTTTGAAAATGACAAATCTACAGTATTTGAAATTGGTAAAATCTTACTGTGCATAAATCTTTTGAAGCCATTACGAATCATTATTATTTAGGAATTAAAGTTCTTGTAACCACGTACTAAAAGTAATATATCCCTTTGAACCAATAGTTCCCCTTTTGAAATTAAATATCAATTGAGGTTACTGTCTTTCTGACTAT